TGTCCCCCTTGCCAGAGTAATGTTCTTATGTTAATCTTTGATTAGATACTAATAAAGTTTTGTGTGTTATTTTCAATAGGCTACTCTGCTTGGGTATTTATAATTATCGACTGAATACAGTCTGTCCTTTACAGCTGTTTGTTTTCTTCTTAATGTCAACACTTCCCATCCTAGGAGAAGTCAACACTTCACTGCTACATGGAATATATATATATATATATATATATATATATATATACACATATACTAAATGTATATATATGATTTTGCGCACCTGCGCTGCCCTGTAGCAGTATTTTTGCTACAGGGCAGCTCAGAAGCAGTTAATGTAACTATCACATGTAAACACTTTAGACTGGTACCTCTGCATGGCATTTTGCAAACACATCACTGATGATAATACGGCACATTTGCTGTGCCCAAGGCATCCTGTATGGGTTAACAGCACATGGTTGCTTGGATGTGTACACCTCTGGACAGTCTGCATATATCTTCCAGCTGTTTTTAAACTCTGTCACATCTTCTACTAAACACTGGTTCCATGTTGTGAAATCATTTTCTCTGTTTCCATCAAAGTTTCCACAAAGACCACAGACCTTCTTCTGCATTGGAAGTAGACAAGTAAACAAATTAGTAAACAATATTATAGTTGGATAATGTAAGCATAATTGAGCACTTTAAAAAAGAGGTATGGGGTTTCCTTCCCCCAAAAAATTATACACACCTAGGTGAATGCAACATTGACCTGATGCTGCATCTGTCCCCTGCTGCCTCTGCACTGAGAACTGATCAAAGACCACTGGTCTCTCATTTTGCCCCTCCGCTCTGAGCCGAGGGAGGTGACTATCAGTCACAGCCTCTCTTCTCTGCCCCTCCAGCTCTCACTGGAGCACCAGGCTTGTGAGTGGAGGGAACAGTTTGCTTAGTCTTCCAGCAGCGCAGAGGCTGAGTCAGCTGCTGGTCTGGCTTATAGGTAGATCCCAATCATATTGTTGGGATCTTTCCAGAGTTTGGACCAGCTCTGTGATGTCAGCCGACAGTGGGCTTAAGCACTGCACTTCTGTAATCCATAGCAGAAGTATAGCCAAAAAAGCTTTGGCCATACTTCTCCTTTAATAATTACTGGTATAGCAAACTTTTTAAAGGTAAGGATAAACAAATTCCAATAATTTAAAGTATATTATATGCCAGTACTTTACTTAATTTTAGATAGAGTAGGTGTTAGAAAGCCTGTCAAGCTTTTATTGATGTCTGTAATTCTCATAAGGACATTTCACTCCCCTGCACATATCCTGGTTACAATCAGTGATGAGCTCAGGAGGGTTCATACACAAGTCCAAACCCACCTGAGATATCCTGCCTAGAAGCTGTCAAAGCCAACAGCCAATCATAGGTAGTGGAGGAATTCCACAACCTGAAGCCACACATGCACAGGTTCCTTGCAGACGTGTGGCTGCAGGGCTGGGAATGCCACTGCCTATAATGGGCTGTTGGCTTTGACAGCTTCCCAGTGGGATAGCTCAGTCAGGTTCAGACTTGTGTCTGAACACGCCTGAGCTCATGCTTAGTTACCATTGTCTCTAAGACTGACGATAAGGAAAAATCCACAATTTTGAGTTGTCACCAGAACAGGAATAGAAGGAAATCTTACAATAGAGACATTTGTTCTTGCTAACAAAAGTTTAAGTTTGGATTTTCTTCATTTTGTAGAAGTTTCTTTTTAATTTCACTTGTCTACAGGACAGGTAGTGAAGGAAAATCTACCCAATAAGACACATATCGCCAAAAAAAAACTGTCCTTACTCTATCCAAATAAAAAAAAAGTTTTGGTTTTAACCTTTATTATGAAATTTTTTTTTTGTAAAAAATACTTTCACTTCCTCTGATTCACAGATTTTTGTGAGGATGTTATGGCAAATAAAAGTAAGGCCTGCAGTGTGCTGCAGTTCACGTTACTGAGTATTATAGCTACTAAACTTCCAACAGCTTTTCACTGTGAATTTGTTCTCAGGCAATGGAGATAACTAATGATAATGGTTTGCAGCTTATAATTTAGAGTTTTACTGCTTCTCAAAAAAATAATGTATGTAACCAGCCTAAAGAAACTCTGCCAAGGGACAGGGACAAAAACTGCACTTCATGTATGAAGTGACAACGCCTAGAGTTGCACATTCCTGTAGCAGCCTCAAACCCTTTTAGCATGGCTGAATCACAAGCAGGCTTTAGTATTTCTTCCAACTTCTACACATTCCAATTAGGCAGTAAGGCTGCCCATGATAGTGATAGGCAAATCAGAACGTGTGGAATGGGAAGAGGGAAGGGGATCTGGGAACTCAATACCTGGAAGTGTTGGAGATTTGCTTGTTAGAATTGCCTGACTTTGGAGGTGTCGGACACTACTTCAGGTATATCAGATACTTTTAGGCCTGGTCTATGACATTTGATGGGTCTGCAAAGATATTGCTGCTACACAGTCTATAATAGTAACTTTTTTCTCTATTATTGTGAACCATTATGAGCAGTAACCTCCATACCTACCTAGCAGTAAAGCTAGAGTAAAATTAAGGTTTGGAACTTTATGGGTCAGAATGGAAACTTAAAAATCTATCTCTGTCATTTTAAAGGCTAGATATTCCCCAAATACACACCCACATACACACTATGCTTGAGTGCACTTTCTAACAATGAAGCACCTCATCTTTGTGACCTCACAGCTTCAGTTCATCAATCCTCAGCTAAGTTGACTCTACCCTTTATCCTCAGCTGTGAAGTAACAAAGATGAAATATCAAAAATTCTAGGCTCACAGGTAACCTCACCTTTAGCAGCCATATTTACTTTATGTGCATGGATTGATAACCCTAGAAACGTATGAGTTATATTATAGTTCTTAGATATGATGATCATAGTCCCGCAAGAGCAAATTAGTTCTAGCGGTTGGACCAGCTTTCTGTAGCTCCTAGATAGGTATTAACATTAGGAAAATATAGTTCTGGTTCACTGTATCCAGTGAAGCTGCATTTATGCTGTAATCAGTGTGGCTGTTTGTGATTGTTTAGGTCTGTTCTGTGTTTCTGTGTTCCACCTGCAATCTAGAACTCTCTGGTTGGTTCTGGAACATAGGTGCAGAGTAAGGCAAATGGGTCGCATGAATATTTATACTGTCTCAGCCAATCCCTGTGGGAGAGTGAACAGATAGTTGCTGGGGAAGTGTATAAATAGTTTTAGACATGGAACAGAATTGTCTTGTCCCTGTGGAGGAGATCACAGTCTAGGGCACCTGATTGCACTCTAGGCCTACCTCATGTGTATGCTGTTCATTGCGGTCCCAGCTGGCCAAGCTGGGAGGCGGTTTTTGCTGGAAGCTACTGGAGCTGACTGAGTGGCCCTGTTGTCTGTGGATCTAGTCTGGCATCACAGGGAGAAAGTATCTAGAAAGTATTGGAAGGAGGCAGCCAATTGCCTGAAGACATTTGTGAGTACAGACAGTTGTGAGAGATCCTAGAGACTGTGTGCTGTTGCAACCCCCCCCCCCCCCCCATTGTTAGAGAGTTAGCTGTGTGTAAAGGAGACACAGTGTTGAATGTTCTGAAAGCTTAGTCTACTTAATTCCTAGTGAAAGGACTTTGCTTGGACTGTCCAGAGAAAAGATTAAATCTCCTCAAGTTTCTGCTATAACTCTTAGTCTATCCCTTTACTCATGCAGTAAAAAGTGTCTCCTCCTGTTTCTACAGAGTTTTGAAGTATCCCACTGAATTCCTTATCCCCCATCCAAGTTACTCAAATATTGAAAAACAAAAGGAAAATATTCCTGAACTGCTGATTGAGCCAAAGAGTGATTGTGATCATGAGCCTGGCTATGGGGCAACTACTGGAAAAGAACGGTGGGTATCTTTTTAGATCCTATGGGGGTTGCGCTACACTTCTAAAATGACTGGTACCCAATTTTGTTTTACGCCCTACAGCTTGAAATGTTAGGTCACTGAGCTGTTTAGGAGTGCTCATTCCCCACACATATGAAAGGGGTGATAATGTACATTATTGTGGGTTGTTTATGTTCTGGAAGATTAATTAAAAAAATTAAGACAGCTCAACTGACCAAAAAAGGTTTCATTTATTGTGAATTTCACACTCATACCACTGGAAAATGTTAATGTAAATTATGGCAATGGAAAAGAGGTTATGAAAAAAGTTAATTATCATCATTATTTATCAACATAAAGTTAGCAATGACCAATCATTTTCAAATGCTTGAATTTTACAGATTACCTTATAGTCCATGTTTAGATGAATGGAAATACTTGTCATTTTATCCCATATTAGAACAATTCCAATGTTGGTCTCAAGGACTAAATATATACCCAGATTTCGAATTAAGAAAGGTATTTTATCACCACGCAGTCTCTTCACAACATCTATATGCCCATCTGCAAACATTATTTTATAACCCTAAACAAAAAAAATATAATTTTTGTTGCCATAACATTGCATTAGATTTATAACAAAACATTCAAATACGGTATTTATTTAACCACATATAAAGAAAACACTTACATCCACCTGGTTGGCAGAAACCTTTCAGAACGTTATTTGTACTAGATCCTAAAATAGTCTGGAAAGCTATTGTGATCCAAGATTAGGGGAAATACTCCGGAGAAAAAAAATATGCTGAGGGAGAGATCACCAAAAAGTGATTTTTTTATGAAGGATAATAACATCACTTAATGGTTTCCTATGCCTCTTGTGAATGTTTCATTCTTTTTTATTTTTAATTTATTTTTAAGACCAGGCCACTTTTGACACTTGTTGTTTACATATAAAAATTTTTAGTAAAAAATTACCCCCAAACATTATATATCTAAAAAAAAAAATATATATATATATATATATATATATATATATATATATATATATATATATAGGGACCCCCCTACAAAACACTGGATTTAGGTTTTCCAATCACCTCCATGGCCACAGGTGTATAAAATCAAGCATCTAGGCATGCAGACTGCTACTACAAACATTTGTGAAAGAATAGGTCGCTTTCAGGATTTAAGTGAATTCAAGCGTGGTACCGTGATATGTTGTTACCTGTACAATAAGTCCATCCGTGAAATTTCCTTTCTGCTAAATATTCCACGGTTAACTGTTAGTGGTATTAGAACGAAGTGGAAGCAACTGGGAATAACAGCAACACAGCCACAAAGTGGTAGGCCATGTAAAATGACAGAGCGGGGTCAGCGCATGCTGAAGCTCGCACTGCGCAGAAGTCGCCAACTGTCTGCAGAGTCAATAGCTAAAGAACTACAAACTTCGTGTGGCTTTCAAATTAGCACAAAAGTGTATAGAGAGCTTCATGGAATGGGTTTCCATGGTCGTGCAGCTGCATCCAAGCCTTACATCACCAAGTGCCATGCACAGTTTCGGATGCAATGGTGTAAAGCACGAACTAGAGCAGCTAAGACGTGTTCTCTGGAGCGATTAATCCCGCTTCTCTGTCTGGCAATCTGATGGACATGTCTAGGTTTGGTGGTTGCCAGGAGAACGATGCTTGCTTGGCTGCATTGTGCCAAATGTGGAGTTTGGTGCAGGGAGGATTATGGTGTGGGGTTGTTTTTCAGTGGTTGGGCTTGGCCCCTTAGTTCCAGTGAATGGAACTCTTAAGGCGTCAGCATACCAAGACATTTCATGCTCTCAACTTTGTGGGAACAGTTTGATGATGGTCCCTTCCTGTTCCAACATGACTGTGCACCAGTGCACAAAGCAAGGTTCATAAAGATCTGGATCAGTGAGTTTGGGGTGGAGAAACTCTATTGGCCTGCACAGAGTCCTGACCTCAACCCAATAGAACACCTTCGGAATAAATTAGAGCGGAGACTGCGAGCCAGGCCTTCTCGTCCAAGATTAGTGCCTGACCTCACAAATGCACTTCTGGAAGAATAGTCAAACATTCCCATAGACACACTCCTAAACCTTGTGGACAGCCTTCCCAAAAGAGTTGAGGCTGTTATAGTTGCAAAGGGTGGGCCAACTCAATATTGAACCCTATGGACTAAGACAGGGATGCCATTAAAATTCAGGAGCATGTAAAGGCAGGCATCCCAATACATGCCGCCACCCCTTCCGCAATGTACTTTGGATGGGCGGCAGCTACAGACAATGTGACGTGCAGGTAACACGGGGGTACTAACAGTTGTGACGGCTGAGTCCACCAGACACAGCAGAATGAAGATCCCGGTGAATGGGGCCCAGTGATCATGTGATCGCTATGTGATCACGATCACAGTGTTAGCAAAGCTGTTATGAATCAATCTGATTCACAACAGCTATGCTTCACTTCACATTATACATGGGGCCAATCACATCACCCTGTATCATGTGACCAGCTCTAGCCAATCACAGATTAATATTATATTGAACTGTCATGAACTTAACTCAGTCACGATAGTTCAAAGCAAGCTTTGCATTGGTGGTGGGCTTTCATGTAAAACCAATCCTAATCAGCTGCTGGACCATTTTTACACGTAGCAGGAAGGGACATGTCCTCCCCCCCCCCCCCCCCCCCCCCCCCCCACCTCCAATGGCTTTTTTAGGCTCTCTTGTCCCACAGGGGATTCCAAGAATTGCAACCCACCCATCTTTAGTGTAGGAAAGACAACCTGCCAGTTCATCTCTGCCAATGCTGGTTAATTGTGCCTGCTTTGCTGTAAATGTCAGAGGGGCTGTTGTAGCCTGTCTAACGAGTCCTTATCTAATTAAAAAAGGCTTGTTATTCAATTTTAAAATGTGAGTGCATTGGAGGCATCACTATAATATTAAAAGGTTTTTTTATGCAGTATTACGCTATTTGGTTATCCTTTCTTTTGCATTTTCATCCATCCATCCATGAGGGAGAGTTTGGAGGAAATCAAGGAGGTATCATTATCGGTTGTTAGGGAGGTTTTTATGTCTATGTAAGCTGGTTATAATTCTACCCAATTTGAGTGCAATGAAGGTCATTTGGAAAACATTTTCTGAGCCTCATACAGCATCACACTATTGCCTTATCAGCTTGAGAATCCACTTTATCTGGTGAGTGTGGGGGGGAAATGATTCACCACTGATGATGTGAGAACACTGGAAAATTTATGAACTTGTCTTTTCATTTTATCAAATTTTTTTGGGACACTGGACTTTAATTTGGGACTTTTTATGGACTTATATATTATAATTTTAAATTTTATTGTTTGCGCTGTTACCTTTTGAGCATGATGGGGACACCTGATGTATGGGGACACTCTAATGGGGGAACCTGATGTAAGGGGACACTGTGATGGGGGAATCTGATGCAGGCCGGTAGGGGCCCCAGTGCATTACTTTGCTCAGGGGACCATGATGCTATTAGGATGGCACTGTCTGTAACTTCTCTAATTTGTAATAACTAATAATGCATCCCCTTTCTTTCTATTCTCCTATGTATCCTCCGGCCTTTCCTACTATTACCATTCATATTTTTAAGATTCATTCACACAGGAATAGAGGCCATCACAGCATGCAAGAGCCATTTGTTTATGCATCTGGAGCAGCTTGGAGTTGCATGCTGGCAGCCTAAGTTAGTCAATGGAGGTGTAGCAGCAGTACAGCTACACAGGAATGGGTGTCCAGCTCTGAATGTAGACAGTCAGTATTTGGGGTTGTGTGCCCTTCCCTGTCAAACTTGTCCATGCAGCTGCCATGCCTCCATAGACTAACATAGGCTGCCTTCCCACAACTCCAGATGCAGAAAAAATGGTTCTTGTATGCTGTATTGGCTTCTGCATCCATGTGGATAAGCACTTATATTTCACTCTGTTTCTCCATCCCCCTCTTTTCGGGATGGCATCATAACACAATGCATGCATATACCAATACACATACCAAGGGTTATTGCCAGTCAGTTGCGCATACATGTATATTTGTGCAAACATGCAAATTTATGTGGGCATGCCAATATTTGTAAGCATGCTAATTCAGGTGGGCACATTGCATTGACTTGTGGGCATTTTGGCACAGGAGCACACATGCCTAATCCCAGTCTTGGTGGCAGATGACCTTTTTAAGGAACAGAGTTGAGCCAGGAAGTTACTGGATGGGCTTTAGCTGTCACCCTGCTACCTAAACCCAAATCTTTCCCTGTAATCTGCTTACCTATTGTTGACTCGACCTGCCCCTGGATTAATCTTTGCTCTTACCTGCTGTAACCTTACTTGATCCTTACCTCATTTTTTGTTTACCTGCCTATTGCTTACGTGGCTAATTTGTGACCACAGCTCATCTCTGCTGACCTTGGCCTATTTCTTAAATGCATTTCTACCTTTGCTAACTTCCTGGTGTGATCTAATCTGCTTTCTGACAATGGCTTTGCCTTCTACTTTGCCTGCTGTCTGCCTTCTCATGGTGCTTCTCCTACAGCCCTGCTCCTTGTTGATCTTCCAATCTGTCTGCTGACTGAATTTTTAGCACCTGTGCCACTTTGTGTCCTGCCATCCCCTGTTCTCCATTCCAGGGGTGATTGGACCAAAGGTTTGAGGGAAGCTCTCTTATCATTTTGGCCTACAACCAGGTATGTTATATTTGTCTTTCTTTATACTGTATATTTATATGGTTCCAATTAATTTTCTTTTCCTTGTCTTTTCCCAATTTTTAACCTTCTTACAGACTTCTAGGCATCTAAGTGGACTTCACAAATAACATTATTTCTATTTAATGTGATTTATGTAAAAAATACTGTTTGTATAGTGATACATATGTAAGGAATCTTCAATGCCAACCTTCTTTTTGGATTTCAGAGTAAAAAAGGCCCTACACATTGAAAATCTACTCTGTAAATGTATATTGGGAGCTAATGTAAGTAGATTGAAAGTGCAAAATGTTAATTTATCAGGACCCAAGAATTAATAGATGATGGCCAGAAAATGACTTACCCCTAGATACATTGTAACAGCCACAGAACAGGAAGTTCCTGTTGTCCCACATGGTATATTTTCGGTAACAATTTTAAAAGTACCTTTTTCTAGATCATTATTGTCACAGTAGTCCTAAGAGAAGGTAAAATACATTATGCGTAATGAATATCTAATATGAGATGTACAAAATGGTATGACTTTTGTTACACTATAAGTCTTACACAATACCTGAACCAAAGTATATTGACAGTATCCACTGGCTGTATAGTGCTTGTTATCAAAAGTAATGCAATGTCCTTCTCCGTAAAATGTACATATTGCTTTTTCTGGCTTTCTGTCACACACCCAAGACCTGTTTTTGCACAAGCTGTTGAAATGTTATTAGCATATGTTTTAGTCAAATATAGACCTCATAAAGAAAAAAAAACACAACAATAGAAATGTTAAACTTTATTGAACTCATGCTTTTGAATAAATGTTGGCAACAGTGAGCTGTAGAGTTGAGAAAATAGGGATGCTAGAGTTATATTAGAAGTCTAGTTGTCATTTAAATCATACAGTAAAACCAGAACTCCAATAAATCAGTTTAATCAATTTATTATGAGCACTAATATCACATAGGTCAGTTTGTCAGTGTTTTGGGGAAACTCAGGGTCCCTTCCTCAGGGCAATGCAGTGACGTTGTCACTGAAGTACCCTGATCTGAACTACACAGGGAACTGAAATCAATGGGAGTTGAATCTGTCAAATCAAAATTGCCCATTTCTGGGCTAATAGGCTAAGGGTTGACAAAAATAGAATGGAAGGTGGGCACTGCCCAGGGAAACATTTACCAGTGCAAAGAATTAATTTGTTGAAGTACCGAAATATTCAAAGAAAAATGGTTTTAAGCTGCCAGCAAATAACATTTCCGTTCTGGTTTCCATTAAAAAAATATACACACAGTCCTTCAAAGGGGAAAGGGTCTGTGTGTCCTTTATTTTAAAGAAGTCAGGAATGAAATCATTTGCCAGCAATCTAAACTGCATCACTTTTTTTCTTTGTAAATGTCAGTTTTGCTGTAGCACATTCTACAGCATGAATGAATAAAACAGTGTAGAGTCTCCCACAAAATGCATACCAGACCTTTTGAGGTTTATTTACTAAAGCTGGAGAGTGGAAAATCAGACTCACTTCTGCATAGAAACCAATCAGACTCTAACCTCAGCTTGTTCAATTAAGCTTTGACAATAAAACCTGGAAGCTGACTGGTTTCTATGCAGAAGTGAGCCTGATTTTGCACTCTCTAGCTTTAGTAAATAAACTCCTTAAAGTCAGGTATGGATTTTAACGGGGTGCATTGCCTTAAAAAAAAAGGTGATGTCCCTCAGGAAATCCATGCCGACCCTTCAAGGTTGGTATGGATTTTTCGGGAAATCCTCATGCAAAAAGACAACAAAAAAGTGAGGTCCAGACCCCTAATTAATAAAAATTAAATATTTGCATGTAGCCTGGCTTGGCTAGCAAAAATGAGGAAAAGCT